GCCCCTGGGCTTTCAGCAAAGCCTGGGGGTGGGGCTGACCGGAAGTGAAGTCCCCTTGCATCTGCTATGCAGGCTCAGTTAGATAGAAAGATGGGGGGAGACGGTGTTGGAAGGGTAAATCGAGGAGGTGGGTGTGGGAACACGGGTCACGCATGCACGCACACACACACACACACACACACACACACCACACACAGTGGGAGGTGCCTCTCCACCCCTTCTCAGCGGAGTCCAGTGATTGCTAGGCTGTGACTTGGACCGAACATCCTCTTGTGCGGAGGGGGAAGGCTTAGGAAATGAAAACAGGAAATATGCAAAGGGCAGATTTGGTTAAATCGTGTGGGGTGTGTTTAGAACCCCAGGCTGGATGACAACTTTGCTCCTTGCTGAAAATGCAGTCTGCTAGGTACCACTGGGCGGGAACCTGGGGAGCGAAGACCTGTTGTCCATGTCATCTTGTTGGGAGCAGCTAGTATGCAGCCTCAGCAAGGCTAGGGGAGCTTATCTGAATGGCTGTGACTTTCCAGTTGGTCCAGTCTGATTACAGCTGGATTAGGGGTCAAGGTTTACATTTTTCTTTGCCTATTTATCATAACCCAACTACAGATTCTTGGTCTTTCTTTTTGAAAATGCATAGCTTTAAAAATACATGAAAACACTTGAGTACATTTTATTTTACTTTTTTGAGACAGTCTCACTGTGTAGTCCAAGCTGGCCTTGAACTCGCTATGTAGCCCAGGCTGGCCTCAAACTCACGGTGATCCTCCTGCCTCAGCCTCCTGAGTGCTGGGATTACAGGTGTGCACCACCAGGCCTGGAAGCCCCTCCCAGTCGTGTCCAGTTCATTCTCCCTTGGAGGGTAACCACTGCCCAGACTGGTAACAGGGATTCCTTTGGCCTGGTTTTGAACCTGATGTGAATGAAATCGTGCAGTTTGTATGCTGACGTCTGGCTTGTGTCCCTCGATACTGTGTTTGAGATTTCCCCATGTCGATGGGGATTGCTGTCGCTCATTCTCTTTGCTGCACATTCCACGATGTGCGTGTACTGAATTTATCACGATGTGGCTTTCGGTTGCTGATGGGCTCGGAGTTTTCCAGACTGGGGCTCTGACAGTAACGATGCTGTGCTCAGTGATGCCCTTGTCTTCCATGAGCAGATGTGCGCACTAAAGAGGGCCAGAAGACGTCGTTAACCCTGGAAGTCACCACTGGCTTCCAACACGTGGAGGTAGATGAGGGAAAGGTCAGTTTGGTCTTTAGATCAGAGTACATGGTTCTCGGGAGCATAAGACAGTTTATTGTTTTCCTTTAATTATGGAAATAAATTCAAGTACTCGTGAGGGTTCAATGAAGTATTTCTACTCAAAAACAACTTTAAAACGCCACACCTATTTTGATGATTATTTTACTACGCAGTGAAGCACATGTTTTACTTTGAGCATTAGAGGAATTTTTAGAACACTACAGAGTAAGGGGTGGTAGCGGGCAGTACTTGGGCTTCGTGTCCTGGAACTTGGAAACTGAGGAGAGTTTTGCCTGCCTTCCAGTTGTGCCCAGATTAAGGACTCACGTTTCTGGGATTCCTTTGCTTGGCCAGGAAGGTAGGACAAGGGGCGGTGACCACTAGGAACGGAGCATGGAGCCGCCCCCACACAGCCTGTCACCCCAAGCACCTCGTGGAAGGGGGGACTGAAGGAGCCCACCTGTCAGGATTGCTCCTCATTTTCACATTTTAGGAAATCTTTTCCTTTCCAATTCCATTTTTCAAGTTGTCTAATACCAAAGCGAATCTTTACTTCAAGGTCACCAAGATGTGAGTGAGGTTCTATAATTTTGAATTCTTGGCTTTCGCATTACCATCCTCCCACAAAACAACCCATAGTATTTGCTTTTTTCCTGTAATTTCACATAGCCATAGAAAGTATAAAAATAAAACCCGTGCCTGGGACTCTTGAATTGCTCCTGACATGGTACCTTGCTTAAAATAGAAAAGGTAGAAAATGCTCGAATCTTGTTTTTCAAATTAAAAAAAAAATTTTACGCTTTCTAGAACAAAAAGGTGATGTAAATAAATTTAATAGTTCAGCTAAAAGCAATGTCTGTTTTTAACTTAAGACCTTGGTTCAGGCCTTGGATTTCAGTTTTTGACCTGGGATATGTTTTCTAACTATTGGACTCAAGGTTTTTGAAGCTGTAAAATGTGATTTCAAATCCCTGCCCTACCTACCACAAATGGTTGTTGGGAGGATCAAATGCAGTAATTCTTCTGAAATTGTAAGCTATAAAGGCACCGAATGTTGGAGAGCTGAGCTTCACAGTCCCCAAGTTAAGAAAGGTGATTCTGGTCCCTGACCTAACACGAGGTGGAAATTAAGCTGGACCTTGAGGTCTTGTGCACAAACGTGAGACCGACCTTTTGTCTTGCACCAGATGTGTCCAAAGCCCTAACCCCAGCCTCCCCAGCACTGCCACCTGGGGAAGGAGAGGGAGTGAAGCCACCCTGCCCTCCCGTTGGATAGGTGGAGTGCCGCAGGCGTGCACAGAATCTCCGTGCTCACACCGAGGACTTTTAGACTGCATTTAATTTTTTATTTTACTCATCCACATTTATTAGGTGTACAGAATATAAAAGTGTTTACAAGCCATAAAACGGTCTACATAAAAATATTAGCCATGTATACTGTTCAGATAATAAGTCAAATAGGAACTGGAGCAGCCTCCTGAGCCAGCCCTGGTGAGAACTCATTCATTACTTCCGAGGAATTCACCTTAACAGCAGGAGAAGGAGGTCTCTGATCCGGCCCCTTGTGGCTCTGGCTGGAGCTCGCTGGCCTGGGGCAGTGGTAGCCTCCTCTCCCGGCCACCTCTCTGGGTCAGAACTGAGGCTGTGTCACTGGGCTGTCGCTGCTAAAGCAGAAGAAGCAGTTGACTGCATTCATGAAGATCTGGGGCCATTACACCAATCGGGTTAATGTTTAATAAAAACATACTCTTGGTGCTGAGCAGTTTTGAAAAGCACATTGTATAAAAACATAGCACCTGTTCTGGGGTTGTGGCTGGTAGTGGCATTGGAACTTGAGAGCTACAGGAACACACACCTGTAGGTTCACGGTCCCTTTCCAAAATGAGATGTGTTTCAGGGTGCAGAATCCTGATGTCCCTTGATGATAAAACAACCCTGTGAGCTCTGGAGCAGAACCCTATACTCAGATGCATTAATTGGTATGTGCATCAAATGAATGATTTTGTGGCTTAATAAGGGCTACAAAAGCACATCAGTCCTAGTTAGGATTTACTGCCAGATGAATTCCGCACGTCATATTTTACTAACAAATGTTAGACAGAACTTTTCAGATTTGTTTGCATTTTGCAATCCACATAGGGGTTGTTGGTTGTATTGTTATGTTCAGGGATTAGGGCTCAACAGGATAATTATTTATGTGTAAAGCAGCCAGGTAGCAGACTCTTAGGAGACGTAAAGTTAGGAACACCAGGTGTAGAAGCCACATGCTTGGGTTCAAACTCCAGCCTTGCTGAGTCATTTTGAGCAACCTTTTCCACCTCTCTGGGTCTTAGTTTTTGTCTCTAGAGTTTGAGTAATCTTTGCGTGGAGATTAACTGAGATACGCACAGGAGGCCCACTGTGTGCATGGCACGAGGCTTTCATTGGATATGCTCCGGTTTTCTCCTCTGTACCATGGGGGTCATGCTGGGGCCTCCAGACATAGCAGAGGGGTTTCTGAAGATTCCGCTGAGTAAATGTGACAGGCTTGGAGTAGCGTCAGTCCCATACTGAGCAGTCAATAAATGCAGGCAATGCTGTCATTGTGGATATCGCTGAAGCTCCGTCCTGGAAACATCCGAATGGGCAGAGTGGTTCTGAGGAAGGAAAGGGCCCGTGGCAGGCACCCTGGAGGAGGTGGGGGCACCTCGAGGAGCTGCGATTCTTGCCGGGTCCAGTGTGTCCTTCCCGAGTGTGCTGTCTCCGCTCTCCCGCCTACAGCCTGCAGCCTGCAGCCCACAGCCCGGCCTTCGTCTGCATGCCCTCCAGCTGCCAGGCCTTGATAAACTTGGGGCTCGTCTTCTCCCCTCGCCAGGTGTGCTCCACCATCTGGAGGCTGTGCCAGAGGCCAACAAACTTGGCAGCAGCCCAGAAGGGAGAAGGGGAATTTTGGCTGCTGTCTCCAGGTCCGACTCCTTACTCCTCATCCAGGGAGTTAGTTCTGTGGGCTCCTGGAAGCTCTAAGATAAACGAGGAGGCCGCTCCCTGTCTTTCTGTTCTGTCTCTGATAGGTTCCTCACTTGGAGCCTCACTTTTTCACCGGTCCCGTGTTCACCTCTTGGGGTTGCTCATTCAGGACAGGGGCCCACAGGGGGTAGGGACAAGGAGGAGGCCCGTGCGCCGTGCGCCGTGCGCCGTGTGCCACCCTGGCCTCGCACCCCGCAGGTGAGCACTGGTCCTCCGTTCTGGCCACACAGACTCGGCGAGCCCCGTCTAGTCCCACTCCCCAGGGCGCTTGAGTAATGCAGGTGACAGGTGATGTCGGGTAGGTTCTGGCTGCACAGGGACACGAGAGAGTATGGAAAGAATCCTTTTCAAAGAGCTTTATTGCATTAGATTTTAGTGTCTGTAAACAATTACTGCATTCAGGGAGTGCAGGATTGAAATGAGCAACACCGCTTCATCAGATTATATCAGTCGGGTAAAATGCACAGGCTCCCGAAATCTGTAATTAAATGTATTTTTGAAAATGAAAACTCTAGTGTGTCATCTGGTTTATTTCACTGCAGAAGTCCCTGGGTAATGCTCATGTGAGCGTGATTGACTCTGGCTGATGATACTTGGCTCTCTCTCTCTGTAAAATCACTGTATTTCAATTAAATTTTTTCTGCTTGATTCTGTTTGTGTTTTATGCAACAAATTATTCACTCACACATACAGAAAATGACTGTCTGGTTTGGAAAATCTAACATTTGTCTGTTTTCTTTTCATTGTAGCGCATATTCAACTCCTTTGTTTACACGGAGAAAGTCTCCAACGGAGAAAGTGAAGTTCAGCAGGTAAGGAGCCGTCGGGCCTCGGCATCTGTGGCCTCCATCTCCTCCCCAGGCAGCTCCCTCATTCTTGCCCAGGTCTCCCCTAGATGCGTTCTTTGTTCGTATACTTCCATCTACATTTATCCCTGCTGGGAGACAACCTTATGCTTCAAGTTCTCAGAAGTCTTGAAATAATAATTATGTGGCTGTTTTTCTGCAGTTTGGGATACATATCTTGAGTGTATTTAATTCTTTTTTTTGTTTTGAACATCCCTAAATATCCTAAAGCTAAAAATGTTTAAAATTATTTCCCCTAATGTAGAAAATAAGTGCCCAGGCTTTGGAATCAGTTTTAAATCCTGTTTCCTCTTTGCTCTGTGACCTGCATAAACACTTTACCCTTTTGGAGTTGGAGTTGTCCAATCTTTTTCTTTTTCTCTAGCTTTTTTGGTACTGAAGATGAACCAGGGCCCTGTGCATGCTAGGCAAGTGCTCTACCACTGAGCCACATCCCCAGCCCTTTTTCTTTTATTTTGAAAACAGAATCCCAGCAAGTTGCCCAGGATGGGCTTGAACTTGTGCTGCTCCTACTTCAGCCTTGGGTTTACAGATGTGCACCCCCAAATGCGGCCGAACACTTTCCCAGTCTTGAATGAGCGATCCTAACATCTACCTTAGGTCGTAAGAATCAAACGCTGCCCCATTAACTGAGAGTACAATGAAATTATTTATGTGAACGGTTCTGGCTTCAAGACGCCTCCATGGAAGCTGGCTTCCCTTGTTCGTTTCCTGTCTTCTTCTCTTGTATTGCTCCTTTCTTCTTCTTTCAGTGCCCTGAGAAGTCGAGAAATTTTGAGGCCAGATTCTATTTACTTTATTTATAGCGGGCTTCAAGTAGATGCCCTCCTAAATTAAAATGTAGTGTTGGTGACCCTGGCCATAAATAATTGATCTGGGCTTGAAAACAAGAGTGGTAAAAAGGAGTCGGTTTTAATTTCAGCTAATCCACCAACTTCATTACGGAATGTGACCGTCCCCTGGTAACGTGAAGCCAGGTTTGAAACTTAAGTAAAAAACAAAACAAAACAGAGCAGAACCAAGCTAAGAACCAGACTACAGCAGAGTGCGTCCACAAAATAAAAGGACAATTATAATAAAATGTACAGCTTACACTCTTTTGAGTCCCTGCCCTTATTTTATTCATGGAGAACAGCTTAGGCTTGCTCTGAGCTTCAGAGGCACTACACAAATAGGAAAAGCTTTGCAGGTCCCAGCAGAGTGAAGTTATTTGTACGATATTTATTTATAATAAATTATTGTGGCTTAATCTCGAAGTTGAGCATTTCCTATTTATAGAGATTGACATTTTTATTGGTTTCCGCTGGTTAAATTTAAAGTAGTCATCTATATACTGTCTTGCTTAGCTTTCTATATTTATTTTAAAGTAATGACCTGAAATTGTGGTGAATACAATGTGGTTTTCTGCACCAGGTCTAATCTTCATAATTCCTATCTTATTTCTATCCCAGGAAGCTGGAAAGTACATTAGGGTCATTAAACCAAAAGGCGTGTTGGTGGAAGAAGATTTCTGTACAAAGCATAGTTGAGGAAACTTTTTTGGCGGCCAGAGGCCATTTGATAACATTTCAAAGAAACCGATCCAGGGCTATCAGTTTTGCCTCTTTCCTTGCAGTAATAGATACAGCACGCCTTCTTCATTAGCTGTTTTCAAATGGGAAAGCTGTTTTGTTTTCTTAGACTGATATCATCGCCTCACCTACCTAGTTAGGAACAAGTCTGGAAGCCTGCAGTAATAATTGTTTAAAGTTATAGCAGCTGATTGAGCCCTGGTACAAAGCCATTTCCATTCTTAACCACAGCAATGTTTGCCAAGTAAGGACAGAGACTGTCCTACCATGGAGGAGGATCCCGGGCCCAAACAGCCCCGTTCCTGTGGTCTCAAGTCTCCTAAGAAAAAGAGCTAGTTGTCGAAATCAGTTTGACACAAATGTATGCTGTCTGTGTTTTAATTTGACAGAGTTTAGTTTAAAAATACGTTTTCATCCAAAGAAGAGTGTGTTAATTACTTTTCTCTCCTTGCTGAGACAAAATATCTGGCACCAAAAGTTATTTAGCTCACAGTCTGTAGAGCTTTCAGTCCATAATCAGTTGGCTCCAAGGCAGGGACGGCAAACGGGCATCGCAGAGGACGAACAACATGGTGCGCGTAAGGTAGCAAAGGCAACAAGGGCCCTTCACCAAGTCTTTCTGCCTCTTTTATCCCATCCAGACTACCAGGATTAGGGTGGTGCCAAACCACTCACTCACGTGTACTGTTGCAGTAATCACACGCCCTTAACCCGGCATCACACAGTCCAGGTTCTGCCACCTCTGACTGCGTGAGGCTTTGGGAGGACATCCAGACCAGAGGCATAGCAAGAAGTCTCTGCTAACTGTGTCCCCACCTGAAAGATTCTGGTGGCGGGAACTAGCCCTGGTCTGTCTGTGTTGTCGCGGAGTTCTTCCTACTCTGAGCCTGGATGCGCTCTCCACACAGCCCTTGGACAAACAGATCTTTGTTCCTTTCCTGTCTGGCAGGCGGAGAGCATCATGATCATTTAGCCTAAATTTTAGCGTACTCGGGTCCTAAATAATTTCTTTTCCTGTGGCACAATTTAGAGCTCTTTAGCTCAGTGGTCATCGTAACAACAATGATGCAAGCTTCCATTTACTGAAAAGCTTATTGCTGCGTTATCATGATACTCCTGTGGATAGCCTCATTTTATAAGGGAAACAGATTCTTGGTGTCTTCTTGACTTGATTAGGAGCTGCCCAGAAACTCCAGGCCTGGCGTGGTAGACTGTGCCCAGGATGGAATCTGTAGGGAAAGGCTCCCCGCTGCTTCCTGTTCTGTGTCTCCTCATCACATTCACACTTTTCTCTCCTTTAAACTTTAGAATGCTAGCAGGTAACCAAGCTGGCTCCTTGTGAATTGTGAAATTTATCAAAATACAAAGACATGTATCAGACATGTAGGTATAGAATAAACACCTTAAGATGGACATCCCACCTACCACCAGCTAGAGACATAAAACATCACCGGACACAGAGGCCCTGTGTGACTTGTCCAGAGGAAGAGGGGGTCAGCCTTTTTCTCCCAACTGTGTAATCCTTCTGCCTCGGCTTCCCTTAGTGCTGGGATGGCAGGTGAGTGCCATGTGTCTGGCTTCCATTGCAGAACTTTGTTACCCCGGCCTCATGCTAACTGCAGGTAGGATGTGTGCTGTGTGTGTGTGTGTGTGTGTCTGAGGTGGGGCGATCATTTGCTCCTGTCGAGAATCACTTCTCTAAGGTAGAATTGCTGGCTTTCCAGTGGCTCGTGTGAGTGGATAGATGCTGGCTGCCCTCCTGAGACAGTGTAGCAGGAATTTGCTGATCCCCGCCCTCTTCAATACTTGCTACTCTCTTTTTCCCAGATACGGGATCTCGTCTTGATGTCCAGGTTGAACGTTAGCTCTGCCTCAGCCTGAGTAGTTGGGTGTGGGTGCACACCACCACGCCTGGCTTTGATTTTTAGTCTTGCTGAGTTGGAGAGTCGAAAGTAGATGTTCTTATGGGTTAAGTTTGTTTTATGCTGATTACTGCTGAGATTGGAATGACTGCCTGTTTATAGTACATTTTTGAGAAGGTTTCCTTGTTCTGTTAAATGTCTAGTAACGCCCTGTTGACATTTTTAATTGAATTGCCTATTTTAGCAATCCTATAGATGGTCTAGATCAGGTACCCAACAGAGCTTTCGTGCTGAAGGGGGGCCCAGTATCAGGGGTGACTGATTAAGAGTGACACGGCCTTTCATGACTACCGCTCGCCGGAAATGTGCCTCTAGTAATTAAACCTTACTTGATTTTACTGAAAATAGCCACACGTGGCTGGAGGTTATCCTATTAGATTGTCCTGTAGATTTATGTTTTATAAATATGTTCTTCCAGATTTGGGGCCCCTTTCACGGTATGATATTTTCACAGAATTGAAATTTTAATTATAGATGAGTGCTCCAAACCAGTCTTTTCTTTTGATTCCTGCTTTTAGCAGAAATCTGCTAAAGAAATTCATTTCTACTCAAAGATGCAAAGATGTTCTGCCATGTATCTTCCAAAATCACTCTCATCCAAGACCAGGAATGGATTTTGGCATTGGATGTGGAACGGCTCTTTAATGTTTCTTTTTCCTGCATGGTCCTCACATGTTCCAGCATCGTCTCTGGAACGATCCGTCATTTGTTCACATCGAGTTTCCACATTTGCCAAAGTTGGATTGGGTCCCCTTGGTCCATTTATCTATCCTTGTGCGGGTACCACATGATCCTCCTGACTACATGTTTATGCCAGGTTTCCGTATCTGGCCGCGTGACACTGTCGCTCCTGCGTGGACAGCTCGGCGTTCCCATGTGGCCCACACCCCGGGGTGTTCTGGTACCTCTGCTGTCCTGTGCTGACCACACAGTGGGAGCTCAGAATCTCCGACTTGTGCTGCCTTCCTAGGACAAAAGCAGAGTTTGGCCCTGGCCCTGGCCCTCTTCCCCGATTTCCTGCTCTTGCTTTGCTCAAGGTCACAGTGCCCCTGGCCCTGGTTCCTTCCCCAATTTGGGCCCCATCTTAATTCTAAGAAGAACCGTAACTTGCCTGTGGGATGTGTTCAGTTAGCTAGAAATAGGTTAGGCATCCAAAACACGATTAACCTGTGTGCTCACAATCTTTAGGTAAAATGGAACCCCCTCTCTAAGCTTGAGTGTTTGGTTTTATTATTGTTTGGGTTTCTAAAAATTTTTTGTATATTTTATACCATCTAGAACCCTGACACAAGGTTTTTAATCCAGCGTTGCTCATCTAGGCTCATGAAACTGCACCCTCACACGTTCTTGTCCTCTCCTTTACTCCTCCAGTCTCCCTGAGTGTTGGGTCTCACTTGTACATGCTGTGCAACTGGGCAGGAAGTCTAATGTGCTGTCAGTGCCACTGGTCAAGGAAACAACCAAGAAACTGAGCAACAACACTAAGAAAAAACATTGCATGGTTCTTGACTCTTACCATACAACTTTTCTTTTACCCATTCTTTCTTTTAAATGAATCCTCAGAGTTTGGGTCTAAATTGCCTAATAGTGTATTTTAAATCCTTGATTGGTTCACTGTATGTAGTTTGGATGCCAAAAAATGATGGCAATAACCTCAGAAAAATAAAAATCCCATGCACACATTCCTGTTTGAAGCACTGGAAGAAATTATGTTGTATGTGTGCACAGGCATTAAGTGAAATTGAATCTGAATCAAGAAAAATAAATTTTCAAGCAAGCCCAGGAAGCAACAAAATCTGCCTCTTAAAACACAAAGCAGTGAGGAAGAACCAAAAGGAGATGGAGATTCTTGGGGTCCTCAGTTGCTCACTGGAGGCATCAAAGCCACCTGAGACTGGTGGACTTTGCTCTCAATAAAGGAGGGAGGAGGGGAGAGCAGGGGACATAAAAAGAATTCGAGTGTGTTGTTTGCGCTCCCACTGGCCACGAGGAATGCAGCCACCATGCGCTGCACACACGGCCTAGTGAAAAAAGGACGCCAAGCAGAGCTGGCAGCCGGACACCCCGGGCTGCCCTGGAGGCCAGCGGCGGCGGGGGTGTCGGTCTGTCCAGCCGTCCTGCCGGCCTCCTCTTGGGAAGGAGGGGAGGAGAACAGACATAGCTGGGGTTGGCTTCAGAGCGCTTCTAGGCCCTTTTTTCTCATTTCCAGGTGAGGTTCCCAAAAGCCAGAGAGGGGAGCTTACTGCTGAGAGGAGAGGCTGGGCCCGGCTCTCCCAGAGCCCAAGCCACGGCTCTTTGCACTGTTACGGGACATTGTCCGGGCTCCTCCGCGGTGAGGTCCAGCTTCTCCAGCACATCTGCACGGGAAGAGAGAGCGCAGGGGATTCCACAGTGCTGCCCCGGACGGCGCAGGTCTCCATGCAGGCTGTGCGTGTGGGCAGGGCTGTCCCCCTGTTCTTTCCTGTGGTGTAAAAGCGGACCTGTCTCTGAAGAGGTCCACTCCCTCGGCTCCACATGGAGCTTTCTCTCTGCCTCACCTGTCTCTGGCTCTCTCGCCATCTTTCTGTCTACTTGTGTCTTTGTCCTTTGTGTCATACACTAGCAGTGAACAGTGGCAGTAGCTGTTACTGTAGCGTTAGGTTTTTGCAGAAGGGGTTAAGGACAACAGATTCCGTAGTAGTAAGTGGTGGTACTGACACTGGAATTCAGACAGCGTGACTGCACATCCTCCTGCCTTTCTGAAGACAGCCGCGCAGTGCCACTGTGCCAGCCACCCGAAATATGTATCACAAATGCAGGACATGTGCGCAACTCAGATATTTCCAGTTGCCATGCTAGAGAAAAATGTAAAAATCAGGTGAAATTGATTGATGAAGCCTCATGAATTTTATAAAGCCTAATATATCTAAAGTTTTGTTGCAGCATCTGCTTAATGAAGTAGATACCTAAGTTTGCTCTACCTTTTCCCCAAGTTCTCTAGTGATTGTTTATGTTAATAATTGACTCAGTGAAATAAGTGCAAGTATATTTTTATAATTGACATTTCAAAACTTTGGAGGACTTCGGAATTCTTTCAGAAAAGATGAATGTGGTACGGGAACCATGGGATTTGCACCCTGCCCTTTGATCCAGGGCTTCCCTAGCAGTTCTCCCCTTCGAACTGTCCACAAACAAGATTGGTGTTGTCTCTTCCATAGAGATCTGGTGGGTTCACAGAGAAACAGCTGGACCTGGCTGGAGTTGCCTTGGGGAAGGTTTTTTTGTTTTGGGGAGGTTTTTTGGTAACAGGGATCAAACTCGGGACCTTGTACTTTCGAGGCAGGCAGTGAAACCACTGAGCTAAATCCCTGGCCCTGGGGGAAGGTTTTTGGTCATTTAATTAATTTGTTCATTTAATTAAACCCACATGGGTGGGGTTTTTGCTTTTACAGTGGTGGTAGGTTTTTGTTTGCTTACTTGTTTACTTTAAAATTTTTTTATTTCAACACGTGTCAATTTTGGTGTTTTAATTTTTTTCCCAGAAATGTGTTCCTTTCATTGAAGTTGTCAAATTTTTGGCATCTATGTATTTGTAATGTTCTTATTATCTTTTTAGTATCAATAGGCCAGGAGAAGATCCACAGAGCAAGATTAATGAAATGAAAGGCTGGCTTATTTGCAAAGAGTGGTAAAATGGATAAGCTTTATGCTATACAGAGAATGAGCAAGAGAGAATAAAGGAGAAAACTTTTTAGTGATAACTCATTCTTCAAAAGTGGAATTGGCTTCCTTTTCTCTTGTGTGTTTCCTGTTTTGGGGATTTGTGTTCTTCATTATTTTCCTTTAGATCATCTTTGCTTGTTTTCTAGCTCCTTAAGTTGGAGCATTAGTTTAAGTCTTACACTTCTTGTAAATAAGAGCATTTCAAGCTATTAATGTTCCTGCAAGCACTAATTTAGTTGCATCCTGCAAAGTTTGATGTAGTTTTGTTCTCATTCACTTTTAAATATTTTCTAATTTCCTTTATTGTTTCTTTCTTTGACCCATGGATTTTTTTTTTTGGTGGGAGGGGTACTGGGGAACAAACTCAGGGCCTTTTGCTTACGAGGCAGGCAGCACCACCACTGAGCTAAATCCCTGGCCCTGACCCACAGATTATTTTGAGGTGTGTTAATTCCAAAACATCTGGAGTCTCTTCAGTTACTGATTTCTAATTTAATTCTGTTGTGGTCAGAGAGTATAATCTGTTTGAATTCTGTCTTTTTTATTTTTGAAGCTTGGGTTTTATGACTCAGTATATGATTATCTTGGTTGTTGGTAGTGTCAAATAAGTTTTGTTTGTACAGATTTTTTTTTTTGTCTAATTCTGTTATTTACTGAGGGTGTTGAAGCCTTCATCTGTAATCATGGATTTGCACACTTTTGCCTTTAACTCTGTTCATAATTTTTGACAGAATTAAATCATAGTTTTGCCTCATGTGATTTAAGGGTTCTATGCTGGGCACATTAAAGATCCTCACGTCTCCCTGAGGGGTTGCAAATTGTGGTGTGATGCGAAGAGATTATCTTGTAATCATGCTGGGTCCTTGAAGTGTTTCCCTGATGACACTGTAGCAGCTCCAGCCCACCTACACTTCCTGATTGAATGGAGCCTTCTCACCAGCATTTACTTCTAACATCCCTGTTAGAAATACATTTCTTGAAGACAGCACATGTGTGAGACTTTCTTTTAAAATCTTGTCTGAAAATGTCTCCCTTTTAATTGAGTTTGTGGGGAATATTTAGTCAATTAATGTTTAGTTTATATTTGATGTTGTTGGATTTGGGTCAACCAGATTTTATTTCCATTTTCCATTTTCTTTTATCCCTTACTTCCTCCATCCCTACCCTGTATTTTTTTATGTTATTATTTGTCACGCTAGGAATTGAACCCAGGGCCTTGCATATGCTAGGCAAACACTCTACCACTGAGCTGCATCTGCATCCCCAACCCTGAGTCCAGTTAAAAAACTTGTGTTAATATAGTTTAGCTTTATGCAACATTTCTTGCATATTTTAAAGTATATTTCTTAAAAATTACAATGCATGTGTGTAACTTACAAGGGTCTCGTTAGAGTTTCTGTTCCACCACTTCTCATCAAATCTACAACCCTGACCCAATGCCCCCATGCAGTTCTTTATGCTGCACTATGCAGTGGTGGTGAACCTATGGCATGCGTGCTGTAGCGGGCTGTTTGTTGTCATCAAAAGCTCTAAAAGGTTCACCATCACTGTGTTAGAATATCCTGTCTGTTAAACCTGCACAGGTTACAGGCTGTGCTGGAGCTTGTGCTTTGGACAGTTGTACTTAAAGAAGTTAAAAGAGGGCTGGGGATTTAGCTCAGTGGTTTTGCCGCCTGCCTCGCAAGCACAAGGACCCAAGTTCGATCCCCGGTACCAAAAAAAAAAAAAGTTAAAAGAAAAAAAACATTGTATATTCTTACATACTTACCATGCACAGTAGCCTTCCTTTCTTTCTAAAGATAGCACTATATGATGAGTCCAAAGTACTTCCTTTAATATTCCTTCTAGTATGATCTGAGAGAGGAGTTACCTTAGTTTTTCATTATTTTGTTCACTCAGAAAATGTCGCTACTTCATATTTTCTCTTTAAAATATTTTTTAAAAAACTAGAACTGTGTCTAGACATAGCAAGTTTTATGTTTATCCTTGTTTTTTGAGCTTTCTGTATCTGCACATTATGTTTTATGTCAAATGTGAGGCTTAATCTTCAGATATCTCTACATCATTCTTGGTTCTTTCTTGGATGCTGATTACATTTATGCCAGATATTTTGCTATTAACAAGAATTACTTGAGACAGTGGGATTCCCTTCTTTCCGTTTTTCTCTCTGATCATCAGAGTAATTTTTATTGATCAGTCTTTAAGTCTATGCCTCGTAAGCTCCATTCTGCTGTGAATATCTTCAGATAGTGTACTTTTCAGCTCTAAGATTTCCATTTGTTTTTGAATACCTTTCTCTGCTATTTTTCTCTTTTTGTGCGTTGCAAGCATAATTTCCTTTTTATCTTTGGACGTATTTGAAATAGCTGCTTTAAAATCCTACCTGCTGGTTCTTCTGTCTGGAAATATTTTGGTATTTCTGTTGACTGCTTTTGCTCACAAATTGGTCACACTTTGCTTTGCCTTGATTTGCCAGAAAGTTTGGGCTGTATTTTGCTATTTTGAAAAGCTTTTAGATTCTGTTATATTCCTTTGAGAAGTGTTTTTGTTTGTTTTAACTTTTACTTGTTTATTTTAGGGTTTTGTTTGTTTGTTTGTTTGTTTGTTTTGGAAACAGGGTCTCGCTATGTAGTTCAAGCTGGCTTTGAATTCATTGTGACCCAGGTTGGCCTTGAACTCATGGTGATCCTCCTGCCTCAGCTTCCTGAGTGCTGGAATTACAGGCTTGCACCAGCCCACCCAGCTGTTTCTCTGTTTTAGCATGCAGTTAACTTGATTGATCTCTAAACTGCTAACCACTGGAACATAAGACAAGAGAAGCTTATTGCTTTTGTAAGAAAGTGATATTTAGCAAGTGTTAACACTCTAGATTATTTATTCTTTTGCTCGGGGATAGTCACAAAGGCAGAGTAGAAGCAATGAAGTAGGTGTAGACTTTGCACAAAACTGAGATGGCGCTGTGTAGGGAGCAATTCGCGTTGGCCCACACGTGCCAGACGGCCTTTCTCTGAGGGGACTATGAAACAAGGCCCAGTCTTGGAGTTGGCACCGGAAGTGCTCAGGTGTGAACAGCCTTCCCTAGCCAGGGTCGCTTCAGAGCTTCAGAGTTGGAAGGCATCTGGGAGGCCAGGCAGGGAGGCCGACACTTCCCTGGGCTGTTTGCCAGACAGCCCTGTCGGGCACAGAGACCTGGAGACCCTCGTCACTTGAGATGGGAAATGAGAGGTGCAGGGATGATGTGGTCGTTTACTGTCGCTTGGTTTTGACAGAGTAGTCACCTCACAGTGCCCACATCCGTGTGTTTATAAAACGGAGAAGACAGCTGTCTCGCAAAGGTGTTTGAAAGACTGTAGGTGGCAGAAAATAGACGCCCAGTATTTTCTGTTCTATCAGTGGCAGGGCACAGTAAAGAGAAGATTGCCCATTCTTGCTCTCCTATGTAAATTCTCATGGGTAAGGCGGAGGAGGAAAGATTGGTAAACCATGAAAGCAAAGTTTCCAACAGAGAAAGGTTGGAAAGGCCCAGGAAGGGGCTGGAGGAAGAAGCTTTACCAGCTGAGAAATGGGCAGCTGGACATGGAGTTTGTTGGTTTTGCTTTCTGTCATTTATGTTCCTACTTGCAGGAAGTTTGCACCCCAGGAAGTCCGGGTTGGGTGAGGTTGGACTGTGTTGGATGCCTGGAAAGGGAAGGGACAAAGCAGGAGGGAGAGGTGGGCAGAAGCTGGGCTTTGAGTTCTGGCAGCTGGTGGCCAGCGTGGGGCAGGCATTTGACAAATGACTAGAAACCCTCTTGCCCCTCCGCATTCCTATTTGCAGCGCCTGGATTTGCTTTGGGGTGGCACTGCCAAGTGCAGTGGTAGCCTGAGGGCGCTGGTTTGTTTACAGTTACCCAGTGCCGTGTGCGAGGCTTGGACTTGTCCAGACCCGAGGAATCCCAGAGGCGGGGTGGGGGTGGGGGGGTGGATTCCATTCCTCCTTCCCCCATCCTGTCCTCCGTGTGTGCCCTGGGGTTTGTTCAGGCTGCGTCCTGGTTTAGTTCACTCCCTTTCCCCAGACCCACATTTGCCTCTGTTTATTGTAAGCATTCACTAAATGTTTGTTGAGTGAGTGAATGAAAGGCGCTAAACCTGTAGGAAAGCAAAAGAAAGGTTGAGGAGCCCCAAAGCCGCCCAGATGGGGAATTGGTGATAAACCCACCCAGCCTGAGCAGACTCGGCACTCCGGCGCCGAGCCCCGCAGGTGCACCTGGTCAGGGTTCAGGCTTCTGAGGCTGGAAACCAGCCTTGTCTGCCTTAGCGCTCCTGGGCTGCCTTGGAGGACGGCGGGTGGTGGCCTGTTAGGGTGCAGAGATGGTCTCAGAAATGAGCTGGGCGCAGTATTGGCGTTTTCTTACTGATGTTCTTTGTGCTTCCACAGACACATTTCTTATTTCACCCTCGTGATCATTTGTAGGAAATTCCATCCTGGAGAGGTCATGCTTATAAATGGCTCAAGGCCCAAGTGGAAGGAGGTGAAGACGGGATTTGTGATCCTGGTCACGTGTTTCCTTTGTTCCTATTGTCCTGGTTGCGATCGTAATGAGCATGATTTATGGAACACAGATTTATTAAGTACGCACTGCAGTTGCATCTCTTCTCTCTTATCCGCATGGCTGTTCCACTGGCCCAAACGATACCCCAGTGAGGCCTCCTTGACCACACATTTATGGATTCTATCCTTGTAACCCTCTTTATTTCTGACCGTCTCCTCTGCTTTACCTCCTGTCATCACCTAGGACTCACACGTGTTTTTATATTTTACGTTGTGTGTCTTTCCCCAGTGGAATACAAGCTCCACAGGGCCCAGGCTTTTCTCTGTTTTGTTCTTTGGTGAGCCCCCAGCAGTTAGTGCCATCTCCTTGTAGTATATAGTAGGTGCTCAGCAAATATTTGCTGTATTAATTAATCCTCAAAAACAATGCTACAGGGCTTATTGACCAGGAACATGTGTAAAGAAACTTACTTCATCCAAGTAAGAGGTGAGAGAACCTGATTTTAAACTCAAATGCATTTAGATCCAGTGTCCCACTGTTCTCAGATGTCGTTCCCTGCAGCCTGGGGTTGGTCCTGCAGTCACTTAGCAGAACACGAGGGGCCAAGGCTGTGTCTTCTCTCCTCCAGTACTCTACCTAACTCTTTTCATATATTTGGGTTCAGTGGATTTTTTAAAAAGGTCTGTTACTTAAGAGAAAAGGAAATATTTATGAACAATCATACTACCCCCCCCCAAAATCATGCAAAGTTGAATTTGAATTTGTCTCTTAAATAGTGCAAAAATTTTGTGATCACTGGATATTCCTTAAATATGGAAGACATAAGAAGATGTGAAGTGTTTTTACTGCAGTGAGTAAATAGGTGTTGTTACCTCCCCTGAAGACAAAATTTTCTTCCGGAAAGTCTCTTCTTCTGGATGTGAACTCCCGAGTGCAGTGACCGAGTGAGAACGATTCACTCTTGGTGTGACTGGCTGCTGGGTGTGGGCGGCTGAGCCAGGCTGTGCTCACTCTGAGGAGGCGGCTGCTGAGCAAACCTCTGTGTGGGCCGGTGAGGAGTTCTGCCAGCCTTTGTGGAGGACTTGCCACACACCTGGCATTGTAGGGAGAGAAACAGCGCGCAGCTCCCAGGACTCATTTTTTGGGTACCTCAGGCTGGCCCCCCGCGGATGGAAATGCCCTCGGTGGGAGCTCTTTTCTTGATTAAACTCATGGGCAGCAAGGTGGTGCCTGCATGGGCTCTGGACTCCATCTCCTATGGCAGGGCTTCCACTCAGGCTCACCCTCTATATGTCTTGCTTGAACCCTAATAAATGACAGATGGTTATGAGGATTAGTACATCAGTACATTGGGAGGCTGTTGGAAAAGATTACAGATTTGGCCTGATAGTGTTCCTTTAATAAATGCTATTTCATATGAGTTATCTCATTAAATTTCTGCCATATCCTTGGGATATAAATACAATTCCTCCCTCTGTTTTAGAGTTGAGGAAATTAAGACTCAAAAACATTAAGCAATTTCCTCAAATCATACTTGAATGAGGTGGTAGGACCGAGATTTGAGCCAAAGTGGCCCATGTCTAAAACCCACGTTCTTCACTGGGTTCTGATACTACATCCGGGTTGCTTTGCATACTTTTCTCCACTGCAGATTTCTCTGTTTTCAATTTTAAAAGAAAGATGATTTATTCTCTCCTGAGAGTCTTATACATCAACTGATGTAAGATAAATAATGTGTCTAAACATTGTAAGTACTGTGGTGAAAACTTAGCTGCTAAACGAGGGAGAGGTGGAGTTGAAATGGTCGTGGTGGGGACTTCCCTACGCTACAGCCTTTATGCTCTTGTAAATCACCGGGCAGTACTGGGGCCTAGGCGGAAGCCGATATATTACTGATAAGCCATCCTGCAGGAACGTAAGCTAGATGTAAAAATGAATGAAGTCCATGATGATTCTTCTGTCTTTCTTAACTAACTATGCATCATGGTCCCATTATTAACACAACCCTAAGACAGTTGATTATGATATCTGTCATTGTGGAATTTCTATTGAGCTCTTGGGGTTTCATTTTTGAGTACCCTCTAGAGAACTCTTGGCTGATTGGGTGAACGGGACACTGCAGCTGCCGGGCTGGTCAGTAGGATTAAAGTATAATGAGGGAGCTTCCTTACCGTCACACTCCAGAAGTCAGGAACAGTTTGGCATTCTGAGCATGGCACTGTGGTTGGCAAAGCTTTCGTTAGCACAGTCTCCTTGGAGGATGTGGCAGCCCTGAGATACTGCTCGGGGCTTCCAGATCTTTCCCCCACATGAAGTTTTGACAGTCATCAGGGACCCTGAGCAGCCACTTCCTAGGAAAAAGATGAGATGGCTACGCATCTCACTGTGCAAGAAATGGCAGTGTGGAATTTGAAGTATTTAGCAATCTTGTTTGTGTTCTAAGAGAAACGTATAAGAAACCTATGTTCTGTATCCTTGCATGTATATTTGGAAGTCAGAATATGTGTATGCATGCATGGAGGCTTAAATTCCTGTACCAAATACAGACCAGCCGTCTTCAGGGGACATGCTGCACATGAGCCAACGTGTGTGTCGTGTGGAGATAGCTAATCCTGCCTATGCACACTCACGCACACATGCACAGTTGCTCATTTCGTACCAGATACTCTCCTTGGACATGCAAAAGCATCATATAGCTACTGCTTACTTACACAACAGTACCCCGTGCATGTATTGGTACTCCTTATACGCATAGCATTTGTTTTGACATTTGTGTATAGACTTCCGTTTTGAGGAGGGCTTGGGGGATTAACCCAGGGCCTCAGCATGCAGAGCAACCCTCTGCCACTGAGCTGCCTCTGTCCCTGCACATGTACACGTACGCCACCTGTAGATAGTGGGTTCTTTAAAAAGCCTCCACAGCACACTATCATCTAAGGCTTGGAGATTCTGGCTCTGGATGTGCGTGCTTGCATGCATGTGTGGTTCCCATTATTTTGGCAGAAACCCAAACTAGTCTACTTCCTCCTTCCCTTGATCCCCACGCTGCATGTTCCCTGTTTGAAGGAAGCGTGGTGGGATGCAGGCAGGCACAGCTGGCGGGGACCAGCCACAGCCTGCAGCAAGGTGGGTGGGGATAGACTGGGAAGGCCCGGCTCCTGACCTTCAGCCTTTCATGGAGCCCTGCAAGGCATGGGTGAAGCAGACCCTTGGAAAAACACAGGCCTGACCTTTGTACTCAAAGTTTCATTTAACTAGGAGGGAACAGACTGAGTCTAAGCCCTCATTTTTAAGGTCACAAAGACTTTATCATGAAAAATAAATATTCCACTAGAAATGGAAATGAGCCCATTTTACACAATTCCAACATCTCACAGATGTGCAGCGTTAGGAAATGTTGATAATTTCTCCATCCTTTTCCCCTATCACCACCCCAATTCCATCCTCCACCCCAGAACTGCTGCTCCTTCTAGAAAAATAAAATAACATCAAATCATCTACGCTAAAACTCGGCTCAGAAGGAATTCTAGAGCTGGTGAACAACTGGAAAACAAGGCCCCTTCATGCCTAATATATTCTGTGGTGCAGTAGGAAATACTTCGGTAACGATCTGAAGGAATTAATTGCTGCTAACATCAGGAGCCCCTGAGTTGGAGAAACGCTTTGAAACTCTGAACCCATGAAATAACATGTGATAAAACTGGAAAGTTACCAAAAGCTACAGCCTTATTTTAATTTTAGAAGGCTGGGCAGGTAGGGGTCTTGTTGAAATCACTGTTCCAAGCATTGGACCGGGTGTTGCTCAAGCAGCCTTTAGTCTTTTCTTTTCTGAGCTGCAGAAAACATGCTGTTCTGCGGTCATCGGGGAGTGTCCCCGTCACATCCTCTGCAGAGGGGCTGCCAGCAGTGGCCCCCGTGCTCAGGCGAGGGTGCAGCTCACAGACGCCCCATTGGCTCTGTTTGCAATCTGCCTTGTCATCGGCTCGGATTGAGAAGACCTTCCCGGGCCCAGCTGGGAGTCAGAGTGAAGTTAGATGCCCTTGGCAAGGGAACACACATACTGTTCAGAGAGGATATAATCAGATTGTTGGGGTTTAGGCAAGTATCCTCAGGCTCGGGCTTGGAGCCACACGGGACACATTTCCTTTTGTGCTGTTTCTCGCAGGCACTGTGTTTCCAGCCAGCACCCAGCGTTCGCACACCATCTGAGTGGTGTGTGGGAGTGGTGTTATTGTTGGCCTAAATACTTTTTGCCCTGAAGCCGGGCCTGGTGGCACATGCCTGTAATCCCAGCACTCTGCGAGGCTGAGGCAGGAGGATTGCAAATTCTAGCCCAACCTGGGCCACTTAGTGACTTAGAGCTTTTCCCAAAATAAAATAATAATTAAAGGGCCAAGAGAGTAGCTGAGGGAGAAGGTCCTGAGTTTAATCACCCGCAAACACACACACAGACACACACACACATTTCTCTCATATATCAACTAACATATCTAATATGCCAGTTTTTACCTTGAAATCAGCGCTTAGTAGCCACATGGCTTTGCTGTAAAGCCCCCCACATCTCAGGGGCTGATTTACAACTGCTCCAGTGGCCTGAAACCGAGGCCTAGAAGGTTTTCTCCGTTGAATGATGCTAGTGTGTTCACGCTGGCGCCATCACACAGTGCCGGCCTGGAAGGGAGAGGAGCGTGCTTCTGTCTCAGAGGTCCCAGCTGGCCCGAGACGCACGTCACTTGCAGGCCCAAGACCAGTGGTCCCCAGCCGAGGAGGTCGCGTGTTCCCAGATGCTTCCTTTCGTGCTCCTCCTCCTCAGTTTTAAAGAGACTGCATGGTGAGAACGTGTCATGCCACACACAAAAGCGCCCTGCGCCTGCTCACCTCGTGTAGCTTTTGGTGGCAACACTGGGGGAGACCTTGTCCTTGCTGTGACTGAGCCCGGCCGTCCTCCCAGCTGGGAACCTGCACACTGAGCAGTCACACACTGGAAAGGCAACTCCGGCCCACACCGTCAGTAGGAGGAGCTGGCAACGTGTAGATTTTTTTAAATCTTTGCAGACTCATTATATCTTAAGGTCATTCTCAGCAGTTGCACTGAACAGACTGGCCGATGCCAGGACAAGGGAATGTACAGCAGTAGCAGGCTTCCATCTCCTGGCCGGCGCCATCTGCCCACCCCACTGCTGAGTGGACTGGCCCTTGCTGGCAAGTGTGTGATCAGATGCTCTCAGTGGGGTCCAGAAGCGTCCGGAAGTGCTCTGGGCCAGCTTTTGTCCTTCTGTTCTGCAGCAGTTGTTTCCCTGCATCCCCAAGGTCGTTGGCAGCCCACGAGGAGCTGCTGTTTGCTCGGGCGTAGGGAGAGCCCTGTGGGTTGCAGTGAGACATGGTGTGCTCGGACCCCTTCCAGCCTGGGTACCCCACTTCCTCTAGCAACCCGCTTTGACTCGGATGCCTGCACGCCTCCGTGCATGGTGTGTTCAGGTCCTCACAGATCCTGGTGTCTAAACGGGAGCTCGACACCATGAGAGTGGAGACCGGGTTTGTTCTTCTCCAGAGTGGGCTGCCACAGCTCTCCAGAGAAGAGCGCCCCTGAGCTCCTGAGCCCCCAGTCTCCCTGCCTTTCTTCTGTGATCACAATCCTCGCAGCATCATGGGAATCTGCAGCAGAGGCGATTCTCCACGCCGCGGCTCTGCTCTCTTCTCCGCATTCTCAGCTGCCCTCACTCAGGTCAGGTCAGGCCATTGCCTTCTCCTGGTGATGCAGCGAGCAGGAACCTTCCAGGCCGGAGTGCTGGCTGCGTCCCGATGGGAGGGCAACCGGGTTCCTCAGGGCGCGGGGCTCCTGCCTAGGGCTGACGCCCGCCCTTCCATCCTTCCCTTCGTTAGGACCCAGGTGGCCCTCAAGCGCAGCAGCCAGCGGGGCCCTGGGGGTGAGAGCCTTGGCCTGCAGGAGGCAGGGCTGTGTCCCGCGACCTCTGGAAAGCTGAACACAGAGTGCTTCTGGGCTGTGCCAGCAAAGCTGCACCAGCGCCCTACCTGCGCGTGAAGAGAGAAGCCCCACTGGCCGCTCCCAGCTATGCAGCTCCTGCCAGCTCCCGCCCCTTCGACTCTCACTGCACTCGGCCCAGGATCGAGGCTGTGACACTACCGCCACCTTCCCATCCCCTGCACCTCGCCCTCCCTCTCCCCTCTGAATGGCTCTCTGGACGTCTGCCTCATGACTCCAGGGCGCTGGAGGCTCAGCCTTGGGCTCTTCCTCTCCTGCCTCTCGTCTGCCTCTGCCTTCCCTGCCTGCCCTGCTCGAGATCCTGCGCGGTCCCAGTGGGCGTGAGGGCAGGACACAGGCTTCCTGCACTGTTGACCACTGTCCCAACACTGCAGGCTGGTGTGGGCCGGGCAGTGGTTCGCTTTTGGTCATGGTAACCAGTGAAGCTCACTGGGTCCCAGGGCTAGAGCTGGCGACATGGGCTTCAGGGGGGCTTCATACTGGGTCGTGATGAGCTGAAGGGCACATGAGCAGGCGAGTCGAAGAAAGAGCCACCGGGCACCTTCTTCCAGGAAACCTGTCCCCCAGAATGGCCTCAACCCGGCTTTGTAAACTTTGACTGTTACCAGTCCATAGTGGCAGTACAGCATTCCTCGTGGGGAGGTCATCCGTGGACGGGACACAGCTTCATTCTTTTTATACACCATTTCCTCCCCCTCCTCTCCCCTTGCTCTGTCTCGAGGTCCCTTTCCCTTTTACAGAAGTTCGATCTCCCTGTCTCCTATTTCCCATCTTTAATTCACTCTTTAATGCATGCATACATTGGGTTTCTTGTATAAGAGAAACCATGCAGTACGAAAGCTTGTGTGTCTCATTTACCAGGCCTACTCAGAGCTGCAGGTACTGCTGAGGAGGCAGTGCCACGAGGGAAGTAGACAGGCCTTGAGTTTCTCGTGGGCTGGAACCAGAGCCAAGCAGCGTTAGTAGGTTTCTACCCTTTTCTAGATTCTAAAGACGATTTCTCCAATAGGGCAGGCGACGGTGTGTTGTGTGAGGCAGACACGCAGCAGTGACTTGGTCATTTATTAGCCTGGGCCTGTGCAAGTTAATCTGTTGGATCCATCTGTAAAAATAGCAACTGGGTACCACAGAGGGCTGTCTTGGGGACCAAAGGCACCAGGCAGGCTGTGCTGATGACCAGGTACCTGTAAGCATCAGCCGGCGCTGCCTCTGTCTTTCTGTTTTGCTGGGGATGATGGAGCTGCAGATGGGACAGCATCAGTGGTGTGAAGCAAGATACAAGTGGAGCAGACGTGAGTCCTAGCACACTGTGGGACACGAATAGACCTGAGAAGGCTTTAAGGAGGGCGAAGTGATGCTGGGACTGGAAGTAGGAGCAGAACCTAGGGACAGTGGTGCCTCGGTTCACGAACTTAATTCTTTCCACGATCCTGGTCACAGACCATTGAATTTGTTAGTAGACGTGTGGGCAAGGCCCTGGGCCTTGGTTTCCTCAATGGTAAAATGGGACAGGGATACCTGGTTTGCCCAGCTCCTAGGGCAGATGTCAGGCATGCAGGACACAGCTCATGGACATGCGCTGCAAAAGTGTAGGATGCACGCAGGAGTAAAGTCCGGATCAGACCCTTAAGACGGGAGAGAGAAGGCAGATTCTGAGAGCCACCTCACTGAGTACCATAAAACACCAGGTACAACGGCGGCAACTAACAGCACTCCAGGAAGACAGCCGCTGCCGCTTACTTGACACCTTTGGGTTTTTAATTTTGCTTTTTTGAGGCCAGGACTCTATTGCACAAGGTGACCTTGACTGATGATTCTCCTGCCTCAGTCTCCCATGTATATTTATACTTGGCACTTTTTACATGTTTGGCCCTTCATGAAACCCTTTACAAACCAAACCCAACTTAGTTCTCAACATCAGGGAGCAGATATCATCAACACAGGGAACCACTGTGATGCAAACAGGGAGAAGTGAGGAGGTGATGAATCAAGTGTCTGCTCAGTAAACATCGGAGTTGGATGAATTCATTTGTCCCCAAAGCCTAAAATTTTGTGCCATTTTTTCACTAATCTAAGAAAAATCATTTCCTGCAGACCTTGTGCCAGGGTTCCATGCAGATTTAACCACGAGGATGAGTTACATGAAGGAAATGGTTCCTCTCCATCTCCCTGCAGCTCCATTGCTGAGAAGCGGCAGCCCTACGGTGTTTCCTGTTCTCCACCAGGGGCACTTTCTGGCCCACAGCCGGGGTGTGACATTAAGAATCACGCGCTGGCTTTGTATATTCACGTGTTATTTGAACTCAGGTGAATTATTTCCAGTTTTACTTCATGAGGAAACCAATGCTAAGGGAAGAGAAGCAGTTTTCCCAGATTCCAGTTAATAAGAGGTAGATCTCTATGCCTGCCCGGAAATTATTACTATACTAATAGAACTAGCAAGAACTTAGAACATTTCTTATGTCCTGTATGTACCGTCCAACAGGAAACACTGAGAATGTTTTGGAATCCAGTGATGTGATTCTGTGCAGAGATGGAAAACATTTGGAATTATTTCTGTGTCACATGCATGTAAATAATGAAACCCTGGAAGGCGCTAGAAAACAAAATGAAAGGTTTACTTTTGTATTTACTCTGGGTTGCAGTTCAAGGAAAGAGGGACTGGCTATTCCATTCTTCTCCCTTCTCCCGGCTCAAAGGGTTTTGAATGCCAAATGTTAAGCTCTTCTGCACTCAGTAAGAATTGTGCTGTCGCTCTTGGGCCCCTGGGCTGCGGGCCCTGTCTGCCTGTTCCCCCTGTCATTGTTGTGTATTTTAAATAATGCTTTCCCCAGCATCAACACGCCCTCCAGCCCTCTCTTTTAGGAAGCAGGCATAAAGTGTGTCCTGCGCCTTTTTTGTTTTCTTTTACATTTTTTCTGACCACGTGCCAGCCCCACCCGAGTCTTCAGAAGTGGAAACATAAGGTAAAAAGAGCTTTTAAAGGGGGTTTCTGGGGACCTATGCAAATGCCACAAGTGTCTACAGGGAAACCAAGGGAGAGGAAGTTTGCCAGCAAAAGAGTCCTTGATGTTGTGATGAAATGTTGTCACTGGCGATGGTGACAGATTAGGATGTGTTCCCACGGGGACCGGCGCTACCTGCTGATCATGTGACTGGTGGCTGGATGCTGGCCGGCTCACAAGTGACTCGGAAGATGACAAGATGGTCCCAGTCCCCTGGTTGCCTCAGCACTGGGAGCCCCTTAGGGACTGAGGGAGAGAGGATAAAGAAGGATAAAGGATGAAAGCTGAGCTATGAAAGGAGAAATGTTTTTAATTACATGGCGCTGGAGGGCTGCGAGGCCACCCGTACTCTGTGGAGAAGTCCTTGTCCCTCCTGTCTGAGGACGCAGCCCCAGGTGCCCTCCTTGTAGCGGGCACTGCGGGGTTGGAGCTCTGTCTGCTCCATCTTGGTTCCAGGAGATGCTGGTGCGCTGGCCCGGCCACCTGGCTCTGGTCGGGATGCGGGTCAGGCTGCCGTCAGGGGCCCTTAGGTGCAGGCTACTCGGCGAGTTGTGCAGCGAGCTCACCCCTGGCTGTGGGGTGGAGCAGGGGGTCTTTTACTCTCTGTGCCTGGGTTTCTTCACTTGGAAATGGGAATTGCCATCTCCTCTTACGACCCTGTGATGGCAGCTGTGTTTTTGAAGTGAAACCTCTACGAAAACATTGAACTCTGAAATTTACTTCTCTTAGAAAAAGAGCAGTACCTTCACCCTGCTTTCTTTGCAGGTTTCAAACTAACACTTAAAAGACTTTTATGTAACTTATGCCACAGTTAATCAGGTAATATTAGCTAGACATTGTTTTTGTGGGGTTTTTATTTCTGTTTTGGGTTCTCTTTTTGGAGGAGGATTTATTCTTTCACATTTGGCCCTATCTCCTATCTGGTGATAGAATTCAGCTATTTTAAACTTCCTCAAAATACCTGATTTTCATAGGCATTATGTAGAGTCCTAAATGAAATCATATTCATTTTTAAACATCCAATTTTTATTATAAAGTAATGATACCTCATGGTTTATGGTATTTTCTAAGGCTTTATAGCATTTGTTGAAATTGATCTTGAAGCAAGGTGTGGTGGCCCACTCTGAGAGGCTGAGGCAGGAGGGTCACGAGTTTACACTCCGCTTGGGCACCTTAGCACATTGTGAGACCTTGTCTCAAAGCATAACATACAAAATGGGCTGGGAGTTGTTGCTTTCAGAGTGAGGCCCTGGGTTCAGTCTCCAGTTGAAGAGAAAAAAGCCTTACAAAATGGAATGGGACCAAGACGTGGAGGGAGAGGTGAATTAAATGTGCACATAAGGATTAAAACGATGAGAACGAATAATTGATAATTTGACATAGGAAGAAAAGGTCCAAAGGGGCAGGGAAGGTGGGAGGGGAAGGGGAAAGGAAAGAAGGGAAAGGGAAAATTATGAGAAAAGAAAAAAAAGGAAACAAAGTCTATGTAACTAGGGAGGGGTGAAGGGCACACAGGGAATGTGGAAAAATAAGAACCAAGATGCATCATGTTCAGGTACACGCACCCAACGATAAATGTAAACGTGTGGTATACCTAAAATGTACCAATAAAAGAATTTAAGCAAAAAGGAAAAAAGGAAAATTAAACGGTGTCATGTCCATGCACCAGCTCGGCACAGGAGCGCAGTCGTGCACAACCTCCTGTGTAGCTGGCATTGTGAGCTGGGCCGCTGCACCTCCACCTCAGGGCTCTGTGGGCAGAATGTGAGGTGCTCGGAGCAGCGTCTCCACACACGCTCAGCTCTCACCAGCTGTCGCTGTTTGTCCGCGAGGCGGCCGGGGCCGTGCTGCAGAGGCCTTCACCATTCCCTTGGCTTAGTGTCCGGGGCGTCTGGACTCTATGCACGCACACAGCTGTGGTCTCTACTGCTAAGGAGAGCGGCTGGGCTGGCCAGGCTGTCCGGCTCCTCCGGGCTCTGGGTTGGTGCAGCTGGAGGATGACCCTGTCCTCATTAGCCAGCACCGGCCCCACGGAGCAGGAGTCGCACAGCCAGCCCAGGTTCAAGGCCTCAGAGCATTCTGCCATCTCTGCTCACGGAGTCCCCAGTCTGTGAGATTCGCCTTGCTTTCGTATCTTGCATCATTTAGGTTTAAGGCCCTGGAG